GTCCTTTCAAACATTTGGTCATTGACTATGTTGACATGATTAAGTCTGTGCATGGGAAACGGTACATGCTGGTGATCATTGACAGATTCAGTCGGTGGATCGAAGCTGTTCCCTCTAAAGATCTAGGTTCAGAAACAGTGGTAAAGTTTCTAGTCAGAGAAGTGATTCCTCGCTTTGGTATCCCGTCGGAAATAAGCTCGGACAATGGTCCTGCTTTTGTTGAAAAAGTCCTTAAAGGTGTGTTGCAACAACTAAGGATAAAGCAACGATTAGGATCAGTTTATCACCCCCAGAGCCAAGGGATGGTCGAGCGAGCGAATCTGACGTTGAAGTCTAAAATCTGCAAAATCTGTGCTTGTACTAACCTTAACTGGGTTGATGCATTGCCGCTTGCCTTAATGAGCTATCGCATGCAAACTAACAGAAGCACGCATCTTTCACCTCATGAGGTCCTAACAGGCAGGCCAATGCCAGCTCCTCAGCTTAGAGGACCCCACAAGGGGCCTTCGCTGGAACAGCTAGAGCTTGAATTCAAAAGCTATATCAAGCAACTAACCAGCATCCATAAAGCCATCTATTTGCAGGAAAAGAGAAAGGAGCTCGTCTCTAGCGCAGGCGCAGACGGGCCGGTAGTTCCTGGAGACCAGGTGTACATCAAAGTTTTCAGGAGGAAGTGGCACGAACCGCGACGAGAGGGTCCCTACAAAGTGGTTCGAGCAACGCCAACAGCAGTCCAGGTCGAAGGAGGATCGACGTGGCATCATCTGACGCACTGCACGAAAGTCAAAGACAAAACTCAGGGCAGTATTGTGCCTAACGTAACAAACCGGCATGATGGCCGGAGGAAAGAAGGGCGTGCTAAGCCTGATGACAGTTCTGTTTTGGATAACACTAGGGGGTCTGATGATGGTGCTGGAGGAGGTGAAGATGGAGACGATGGCCGAGGAGCAACTCGTCGACCCATCACAAGAGCATACGCCAGACGACTTGGCCAACGACGAGGCAGCATACCATGATCAAGTTAAGTACAATTCAGCAGGCCGGATGCAACATAGGTCGGCATCCCTGCCTGCATTCGACGTAGCAATTGTTAAAACTGGTGATATAACCACAGTTCCAAGTAATGTTTTAACTACTAGCGCTACTGCTACTGTGATCCCTGATGTTTTGACTACCACAGCGCCTGTTGGAGAGGTGAGGGCCGACTGGAGCTCTTCCTCTCTTTACGGCCCCTGATGGTGCATTTACTGAAGGCATGAGGAAATTGAAAGATTTAAAGATAGAGCTGAAGGAGAATGCAGGCAGGGAAAGCTGGTCCTTAGACTCCTTAGCCCTCAAATTGGGTCAGTGGGGAGCTATTTTGGTAAAAGCAGGAATTAGTGCAATAGTAGTACTAATTCTGATTTCTCTATTGGCATGTTGCATCCTACCTGTTGTGAGGAGACTGTGGGAGCGAACTCTGGCTGCCCAAATGAACCTTGCTGCGTCGTCTCAATATGTGCAAATGGAAATGGCCGCAATGGACTCAGCACAACACCCAATGTGCCTGAAGAATGGGACGGCTGATGGGACAACGGCGGAGTAATCTTTGCGTCTCATCATAGATGTTGCTGTTGTGGTTACATGCACTCGACTAAGGAATCGGCCTCAAAGTCCTCTTCCAGCGGCAAGACCCCTGCAGCAGTCATCAATAAAACTGAACTTGACTCTTATGTTTTCTTCACTCCATTTCTTTTTCAGTTCTGCAGCTGGGACTCTGACTCCGTTCTCTATTTCAGTTGAGCAGTTGTGTTGTTACGTTGAGTATATTCATTACACCTCCTGTTGTGTTTAACTTTTATAGGTTTAGTCGCAGCGACATCATCTAGTCGTTCATTCGTATCCACGTCAATCATTTATTTCACATGAGTTTGTATTTTTGATTGCATATTCACGTACAGTTACTGGTTGCAATATTGCTAAGGGTAATTAATGCTCGATCATGCTTATGATTTTTGTTCTCTGTTGGAAGGTTTCATCAGTTTGTTTTCTCTTACGTGCGTTCTTTTGTTAATTCACTGTTACCTAATGTCTGCCATATACTTAGGCTAGGCTTGCATGCTCACTCTGTGCTTTATGTGACCGTCCTGTTTGGGGCCAGGAGGTCAAGGGGGAATTTTTCCTGTTAAGAACAGCGGACAGGTTTTCGCCCCCTTACAGTTTGCGCATGCATTTTGATGTGACTGAGCTGGTTAAAGACGTCACATTCCATATTGTGTTTTGAAGCTGATACTTACTTTGTGTACTCATCCAAGTGTTGGTTTGCAGTTACTTCGTCGTTACATATATGCCTATATAGTTTGGTTGAAGTTTGTAGTGTATTTGTCATTTTGCCATTCGACGCCCATTTACTGGTTTATGTTAACGTTCACTTATGTGTTAAGTTATATGTTATGTAGCCAGCTTATTAATGGGGGTGGACACCCCCATGGGGGGGATCTGTAGGAGCTAAAAGCAGTGTTTTGTGTACTGCATGTTGACATGTTGCTTATCAATGCCAGCCGGTTATCAGGCAGCCCAGCTGCTGAGTACATGCTCCAAAAAACATGTTGATCTGCCCAGCTTATGTAAGTTTCAACTACTTTTGACCATATTAGGATGTGGAAGTAGCACCCCATCATTTCTCAGAATCAAAAGGGAGGTGGGGGTTGAATAGTATAACTGATGCTGCGTGGTGTAGGAGAGGGGGCTTTTGCAGAAGGATCTCCAGCCGAGGTGTTTAGATCGAAGCTGGACGCTGTCCCCTGTGAAGTGTTGGTGATGTATGGATGAGTTGTGTAAATAAATGCCCCCCGCTGAGTTTGGACAAAACCTGTCTCTTTCTTGTTTTTGATAAGGAAAAAGAACCACAGATCCTCTGGATGATCCAGAGGAAGCATGGGAGAAAGTCATGTGGTCAGATGAGACCAAAGTAGAACTTTTTGGTCTAAACTTCACTTGCTGTGTTTGGAGGAAAAAGAAGGAGGAGTTGCATCCAAAGAACACCTTCCCTACTGTGAAGCATGGGGGTGGAAACATCATGATTTGGGGGTGCTTTTCTATGAAGGGGACAGGATGACTGCACTGTATTAAGGAGAGGATGAATGGGGCCATGTATTGTGACATTTTGAGCAACAACCTCATTCCCTCAGTCAGAGCATTAAAGATGGGTCATGGCTGGGTCTTCCAACACGACAATGACCCGAAGCACACAGCCAGGATAACCAAGGAGTGGCTCCGTAAGAAGCATATCAAGGTTCTGAAGTGGCTGGGCCACTTCAGAACCTTTGGAGGGAGCTAAAACACCGTGTTGCTCAGCACCAGCCCCAGAACCTGACAGATCTAGAGAAGATCTGTGTGGAGGAGTGGGTCAAAATTCCTGTTCCACTATGTGCAAACCTGGTTAAGAACTACAGGAAACGTTTGATCTCTGTAACTGCAAACAAAGGCTACTGTACCAAATATTAATACTGATTTTCTCAGGTGTTCAAATACTTATGTAGCCTAGTGAACTAGACCAAATTCTTGCTTTGCAAAGTTTGGTCTAGCAACGCTCCACTGGAACCTCTGCAGCCCCAACAGCATTCTGGCTAGCCAATCACAGCTCTCTAGAGGGGTTTCAAATGCATAAAGAGTTGTGATTGGTCCATAATGATGGGCCAATCATAGTGCTCTATCTGCTTAGTGAACAAATCACAGAGCTTTATCCGCTTTGTGGGCCAATCAGGGCACTCTATGCCTGGTGGGTGGGATGATGCAACAGAGTGAAACAAGAGCATGTCACATTCATTGTCCAGTAGCATGCGGAGATCATTTGAAAGACAACGGTAGAACCCGCCCCACAACTGAGAGTCATCCATGGAGCGTTGCCTGACTAAATAATACATTTATTTAGTCTGGCATGCCAGAATAATACTTATGTGCAGCAGTGCAAAACAAATAAGTTCTTTACAAATCATACAATGTGATTTCCTAATTTTTTTTACATTCTGTCTCTCACAGTGGGAATGCACCTACAATGTGAATTTCAGACCCCTCCATGATTTCTAAGTGGGAGAACTTGCAAAATCGCAAGGTGTTCAAATACTTATATTCCTCACTATAGGTTTATACATCACATTTAGTTCCATGCACTCACAGTAAATGTTTAGTTAACTAGTCATGTTTTAATTGTTTGTAAAATAAATTCTTACTTTTATAAACCTGACTCTTTTCTGAATCAAAACGAAGTGCGTACAATTACGTAATAAAGCAAAAATCCTAGAATCTTCTAATAAATACAATAAAGACCAAGCAGGGTTGATATTTTATATTTAAATAGAGTATCACAGCTTATTGGTCATAAGTAGAGGTAATATATATCTTGAACTCTTAAAACACTCAATTTACCGAATGCTACAGTAGTTTCAATTGAAATGTTGACTTTGAATTCGCACTATAGAAATTAACTGAATTGAATTGAACTGAGATTTAAAGTCATTTTAACCTGTCAGGTTGCAATAACCACCTTTTTAGCTGATGTCTTTTATCTTCTTGCATGATACTGTCTGGGTGTTTATTAGTAAAGCTCCCAGGGAAGAAAATAATAAAACTAGGAGTGGGACTCGATTTAAAAAATTGTATAATTAAATAGAGGCTTCGTAATTAATTAATTTTGATTAATCACATTTTAATCAATTTGTGCTCAAGCAATTTTTAATTAAATATAATTTTATACTTTAATGAGTATATTTCTGTAACCACAAGGTTTATTTTATTACTTTGTTCACATTGTGGGATTTGTTGGGATGTGTAAATATTGGGCATACTCTAGACTTTCTGCCTCATCTAAAGCATGAGTATGTTTCTAATAAAACTGTTTAAAATTAATTCATTAAGGATCCTATGAAATACAACTCACCATTATAAGCCTCCAGACACTGGTTTGACTGGTTTAACCAAAGCTAACAGGAAAACAAAGGAATGTAACTGAATCCACTCACACTCTCCTGTCATGAACTTGTGGATGTAGCCGGCAAAGGGTCCCGGTTCAGGCTGCGTCTTATTCATCAGGTCAAAGTAGTAGTAGCTCACCAGGTTGTCTTTGGCGTTGCGTGCCACATAGATAGCCTTCAGAAGATACATGAAAAAAAAAAAAACATTTACAGCAGCAATAAAGCATTTGATGGAGTTTAGTATTCCTGTTGACCCTTAACCCCAATAACCGGTGCTCTATCTCAAAACCTTTCACCTCTGTCACTGGCTGGTTAGAGACAACAGCACAGATAAACCTGTCAGAGATCATGTCTTACCTTGCATTTATTCTCCCAAAAGGCAGGAGGCACCAGCTTGAAGGGAAGGTGGGTTTTGATGAGTCGAGGTGGATCCATTTTCTTCAGGAGATCAAGACCTGCAGGTTTAAAACTAGAGCATTTATAAAAGGCTTAAAACACAATTATTATCCAAACATTTGTGATACAAGCACTAAAATGCTTTTAAAAACATGTTTAAAATGTACTGATATTCTCTAATGCTACTTTCACATTACCATTTTACAATAAGGGTTCATTTACCTGCATAATGGTCACTACAGTGGACAGGTACTCAAAATTGTTATTTATTTGTTTTTGCTATTAAGCACAGCTGTTGAAGACTTTATTTTATTTGAGCCCCTCCATTTGGACTTCCGTAAGCCAAGCCAACATATTTCATGCTCAGAATGTACGCTGTCCACTGAGGTGGACATGTAATGAACTATTTGTAAATTATAAAATTTTACAAAAATATTTGTTGAAATTTGTTTCGTTCACACCTAAAGACGAATGAAAAAAATTGTTTAAAAAATCATGGTTGAAGATTTCATAATTCATGCATCAAAGGGTTAAAGGTGTGGAACACTTGTTTAATCATTATTCCCACTCCCAGCACGTCAAAAGCAAAGACTTGGTCAGCCACCCTCCGCGTCAGACCCCTGACGCCAAAAGTGCCTTTTTTCGCCACTTATGTGGGAAAAGGGTTTTTCCCTTTTCTGCCTGCAGATCCCAATGCAGCGTAAAACTGACACGATGGGATATCGCATAGTGGTCGTACCGAAGAATTCAGGAGTGCGCATATGTGTGGACTTAATTAAGTTGAAGTAGCCTGTGCATCGAGAGAAGTTCATTCTTCCATCCGTGGAGGAAACACTGGGGAGACTGGTTGGAGCCAGAATTTTTAGTAAGCTGGATGCAAACATGGGGTTTTGGCAGATTCCCCTAACTGAAGATTCAGCTAAATTGACAACTTTTATCACACCCCTCAGACGCTTCTTCTTCAAACGGCTACCCTTCGGCATAGCTTCAGCTCCCAAACACTTCCAGAACCAGATGGCGACCGAAGTCACAGAAGGATTGGAAGGAGTAGTGTGTCACATGGACGACGTGCTCGTGTAGGGCCGCACGCAAGAGGAGCACGACGCTCGCCTGCATGCCGTGCTGACAAAAATTCAGAAGGCTGGAATCACCTTGAACACCGCAAAGTGTGACCTGTCAAAGTCTAAGGTGAGCTTCCTTGGTCACGTGGTCTCTGCCAGCGGCATCAGCCCAGACCCGGCAAAGACTGAGGCGGTGAAGAGGACGAAGGTGCCGACAACTGTGAGCGAACTAAGATCATTCCTTGGGATGGTGAACCAGCTGGGGAAGTTCATCCCACAGCTGGCAGAGAGGGACAAGCCACTACGAGACCTCCTCTCTAAAAAGAACTGCTGGATGTGGGGTGCCGAGCAGGTCAGAGCTTTTCAGGATCTAAAAGCGCCACCTGTCCTAACCATGTATGATCTAGGGTTGTCACGGTAACCAGTGTAGCAGTAAACCCCGGTAAAAAAGTGGACAATAATAATAACCTTCTTGTTTTTAAAAAAAAACAAAAACTATCTCGGTGGGTTACCGTGGCTGTGGTGTAGGCGCGGTGACCCTTACCAGCCACCGTATCATCTGCTGAAGTTGCTGGTGGCACATGCGTGCTTTGTTGTTTACAACCAAAACAGACCCCCTGATGATCTTCTACATAAACACGTGTAGAAGATCATCGGGGGTCTTTTGTTCCCTCTTCGGGGGGAAACTCCCACTGGGTTTAAATCTGGGACTCTCCACCATTTGACCTTAGAACTGAAGAAGCCTCTCGGATGAGAGGTGAAACGTCTTCAAGCAACTCAAAAAAGTCCAGACGCTTTTCTTTCAAAGCTCATTAGACTACAATGACCTGGATGACTGAGAACCTTCACAGTCAAATCAAAATAGAAGAGCTAGGCCGGTAAATTTGACAAAATAAAGACATTTTTCAAAATAAAACACGGCAAGTGATAAATGTGATCATTTTTGTCTGTTTTTGTTTTCTAAACAGGCTAGAGAGATGAAAATAAACAAAGACACAAACACACACACACACACACACACACACACACACACACACACACACACACACACACACACACACACACACACAGTCCTGTGGAGAAACAGCCTGGCCTGCCAGACTCGTCCTCTGTTTAATTCTGCACAGAGAAAGAGTCTGGTAACTCACAGGCGGAGAGGCACATGAGGGGCGGGACTAGGCAGCTCAAAAATAACCAATCAGAAAAGAGACGGAAATGCCGACTGTACCACGCAACGCTGTAGTAAAGATGTAGTAAAACAGGCGCCTGGCAACAACGCACACTCCTCTTTTTTTTTATTTTTTAGAAGAAATGCTTTTAGCGCTTCTACTTGTTGTGGTTTTAAAGACATTTGGGTCATTTAGAACAGAGGAAAGAGCCGCAGCGAACTCCGCCACTGTCTTTGTTGTTTATGAGAAATTGAGCGTCGCTGTGTGCGGCATCTGCGACGCTGTAGTTTTTCAGCTGTTGTCAAAAATGGTGTCTGGCGACGGAGCAAACATCTTTCTTTAGAAGAAAGGCTTTTAGCTCTTCTACTTGTTGTTGTTTTAAAGACGTGTTTATTTAGAACAGAGTAAAGAGCCGCAGCTACCATGTTTATGACAAACTCGGCGTGATGGTGTGTGACGTACGCTACTCAGCGCTGATTGGCTCGGTTAGAATTCTCCCGGGGTGGGGTTGTTTGAACAGGAGAGTTCCCAGACCCTTTCTCTGTGCAGAATTAAACAGAAGAGGAGTCTGGCAGGCCAGGCTAGAGAAGCACAGCGTTTCCATCATTTAAATGCAGGTTTTAAAGCAAAAGATGGATTTAATAAATGTGAATGCAAACAAATACATTTAATTAAAAGTTAAATATACAATAGTGTAACGTCCAAAAGGGTCAATTTTCACCTATATATTGATCAACATAATAACCTTTCATCTATAGAAATAAATCCACTTTCTGTTTAACCTTCCAAGGCCAGAAGGTTCTTCTCAGTGCGTGTTTACATACAAGAAAGACATAAAGAAAATGTCAAGGTTCCTGCACTCTCTGCGTGAACGCCAGACGTCAACATTCTTCACTCTGAATAAGTAAAGACTCCATAATTTTACAGTTATAAGTTAAATAATCACATGTAATTAATGAACAAGATGTTTAAATGAAATGTTTGAATAATCTGTGCTTAAACCATGAGGAATTTAAAATGAATATTGTTCTCACAATGATCCATTTATATCACAAATCAGTATGTGTTTGATAACAAGTTAATCATTGTTTACTCTCATACACATTACAATAAGATACATATTAAGGTTAACATTCACCTCACATAAGAGTGTTAAAGATTCTCATTCACAGTGTTGAGAAATCTTTGTATCTAAAGGAGGGATGTTTGTAAATACTCAGAAACGTGTCAAATTCTGATTTGCCAAACTTGGCCACAACTCATAACATTGGAGTTTAATAAAACAAGAATCACTTCCCGATTAATTCAGTTTCCAGCTGAGTCCTGATTCGGCCAAATCGGGAAAGAAGTCTCTTTTGAAACAATCTCCTTTGACCTTAATTCCAAAACCTTTCTGCGACGCTGCAAGTGATTACAGACACAACAGCTCATTTCAGAGCTACTTAAACTCAGACATCCACCTTGGACACCTAACCCGCAGACCCCGGGTTGCATCTCATGGCTGGGGAAGCTGAACTCAGAGGAAGCTACTAATCTCTGAGTATTGTGGTTTCGACATCCGGTGACCTCACCACTCTGACCGCAACCCTCCGGACCGCCTGTCACGTTGAGGGTGTGAATGGCGGCGGACCATGTGTGGTGGAGCAGATCAGGAGGCAGGAATGCAGGCACGGATGAAATAAAAGTAGTTTTAATGGCAGAGCGGGAACGGCAGAACAAAAACAACGCTGACAACAAACAATGATCCGACAAAGACTGATACAAGAAGGGGAAAATCAGGAACACATGGGCGGATTAACACGGGGCAGGTGAGAACAATAAAAACCAATCAGGCAGGGGAGAGACACAGTCAGGGAGGCAGGAGCAGATTGTGACAATACCAGGGTATCATAAGCCTGCATACTGGTGACTGATGAGGTTTTTATCAATAACTAACTATCTAGTTTATAACAAACAACAAATTCTTTTACACCCAGATTTCACAATTTCAAAGAGCGGTTGCTACAACATCTAGCTTCCATCACAACATCTCACATCCACCACATCTCATCATGACTTTGCAGCTGATGTGATCCTGGCGTAATGCGTGTAGGAGACTACTTTCATGTTCAGCCTAGAAACTTAGAGTGACCTATTATATTAAAAAATGATCATAAAAGTGTTTTTTTTCAGTGAACCACACCCTTAATGTTAGTTGGTGCATTGTTAAGCATTAATAACCAAAGGGTCCCTTTAATAACTATATCATTATTGTTAACTATTAAGTGTCCTTAAAGTTAGGACAAAGGGCGGCGCGGGGGGGGGGGGGGGGGGGGGGGGCTGCATTAATCATTAACGTTGTTAAAACTTTATTTAGAAGTTCACTTATTCATAATAATGCATTCAGTAACATTAATAAAGGGACACTTATTGTGAAGTGCTACCTGAGTTTTTTTCTGCGCAGCCTTACAACTTTCAGATACAAATAATGAACAATGTAAAACTGGTCTTTCAAGCCAGGCGTGTGCTGCAAAAACTACAGTTGGAAAACTGTATAAAATGTGAAACACATTCTAATAACTTATAGTTTCTGTTTAGTTTGAAATGAAGATGTTAATTAAACTATTAGGAGAACCTGCAAACAAAAATAATCTGGAATTTAGAAGTTAGGATGTTTTTGCTTGAGTCACACTACTATTTCCATCATTTATTTCTAGTTTAACAGCTCATTGATCCAGATTATTAACGAGGAAATAATCTGATTACAATATTCCTCCAAGGTTTGTATTTGTGGGTTTTCACAAGCTGGAGTGAGAGGTATTTGGAGTGTGTAGCCTCCTGTCATCCATGGTAAATTTCAGCTGTATCAGAAGGAAATGTAATCAGTCAGAAATACACACCTGAGGGTATCGGCGGAGGGGAGCAGATTTCTAGGAAGGGGCTGCGGACGGGGGTGGGGGCTCTTTTGCAGGCATCGGCGTCTCCGTTGTGAAGAAGCAAGTCCACTATTTCCTGTGTCCACGTGGTCCCTGGTTCGCCAAAATTACACGGATACTTAACTCATTTTTTAATTCCTGGAAAATACACTTTTAGTTTTTTTTTTCCCATAAAACATGTGATTAAAAGCTTTCTGAACAGCCTCAGTTTGGGAAGTAGCGTTCATACAGGACTGATGAGCTAACGGCTAGTTTAAGAACAGCCAAGTCCACAGCTTACTGCAGCCATCTTAAAACAGATTAAATCTCTGGTTTATACACGTCTCTGCCAGCTTAGCCACAGAGGGATGCAACGTCATAATGTGTCAACGCAAGGGCTCTGCAGCAATCCCACAGAGGGTCAAGGACATAAGTCCCATTTTTTAACTGTATGTCAAAAGAGAGAGTGCAAGCTTTTGGTTGGTCAGGACAGCACTTCCGATAAGTTTCTCATCAAAAAAAGAGTGAAAAAGATATCTGACGGCAGACGCAAAGTAGATCCAAAAATGTTTTGAGAAAGGAGTAAACTATTCATGGAAGGACATTACAGGAAATGTTTGGATTTTGGTTTGGAGGTGGCAACCGCATGAAGAGGTGAAGGAGAATGTGGCCCACATTTGTTTTAAACAGTCTTTGAAACACATAAACACAATTTAAACACACAATAAGGAGCCTAAGTCTCCTCCCCTTCCGATCGGCTCACGGGTCCCCGAAAGAACGTAAAAATGAATGCAAGTCAACGGGGCTATAAGAGCAATTTTCTAATCTGATTTGCCTTAGATCCTGGATCACACACATGCTGTACTTCAATTGAAATGAAAAGTAATGATGGCTGTTTCGACCACACCAGTCATGTACTTTGAGATTTATCAGGATGCAAAATTAATTAGCAGGACTTCAAATCAGACATCGGCATATCGCATATGTGACGTCTCCACATAATCTCTCATCTAGCGTAGCTGCTACTTACCACATGGCCAGATTTATGGTTGTTCTTTCCTCCTGAAGGAAGAATTTGAAGTTTATTGAACTTACAGCCATTTTTTCTCTGCTTTTCTTCGTGTCTGGTTTGATGATGTCACTTTGGAGATGCAAGTTTGTAGTCCTGGACATATTTTCACACAAAATCTACAATAACTTTTGCCCCTGTGCGAAAACGAGCATTTTCTTGGCATTTAAATGTGTATTTACAATTCACGGACTTCAAATGTGAAAGCCATGGCACATAACAAGCGGGCTTAGAAAATAGCGTTTTTAGCCCCATTGACTTGCATCAATTTTTTCATTTTTCTGGGGACCCGTGGTCCAAAAGTAGATGGGCGTAACTTGGGCTCCCTATTGTAAATACGCCATCGTGGACCAGAGATGTGGCTGCAATGGTGGCACTATGCCCTCTGTTGTCTTGGAGGGGAATTGCATTGCAATGAAGAAGTCTGAAAATGTCTCTGTCAATATGCATGTGCAACTCCTGACCCGAGCTAACGGAGACGCATAAACCAGGCTTAACGTTTCACAGCAACTCATATGGCATACTTTTATAAACCTTTCCACCTGCTGCCAGCCTTACAATGACACTTATCTACCTGGTGTTCACTCATTATTAACATCAACAGCAGTTAAATGTAGCAAAGTTTTCCATGAATTTGTTAGAATTTCTGCTGAAATAACTATAAAATATAAAACTGATAAAGATGTAAGATTTTTTTTAAATAATGTAGAAATGGCTTTACGTTTTAGGAGATTGGCGCTGCAGTTTTACACTTTGGTCTTGCATGAGCTCAGCCTAGCCGTTAGCTTATCAGTCCCACATTTTTTCCAAAGCAAGGCTGTTCAGGGAGCCTTCAACAGTTTCATCCTAATTATTTAGGACGTTAACACAGAAGCACTCTTTAAAACATTCCTTTAAAAACACGTAGAGCGCCAAATCCTTTCAGTCTGATCTCATCTGGATCACTTTGATCAACATCTGTTTGGTAAAATTCTGAAAACACGTGAACCACATTAGCTTAGCCGCCTTGAGCACTTTTGCACATCAGAAAACTGTTTTGTATTTCTGTGCAGTTTAATTATTGGTTCCAATAATATTCCTCATTCTTCATCAAAGGGCTGAACAGGGATTTCTCTGCAGTGACTGACTTATTTTCTTTTTCGTTGCACCTGTATTATACAACCCGATCAGTGCAACTCATTCTCTCATTTTAGCATTACTGTAAATCAACAAACTCCTCATTAGTTAAAGAAGCTTAAACAGTACCAGAATGAGAAATTATCTCCTCAGAAATTGCACCCTGCATTGAATATGTGAAATAAAGTTTAAATGTGGCGCTAAACGCTCATCTGAAACACTTGTTGTGTTTGTGAGACACTCATATTTTATTGGACTTAGAAACTCTTTGACCCAGAAGACGTAAAGCACACATTTACGCCTTCAGGGACTGATGAGAGAGAAGAGATTTAAAAGGTCTGGAATAAAAATATTCTTGAGAGACATGTTAAAGTGCTCCGTTCAGACCGATTTGGTCCTGCGGAGGTCTAACGCTGCGTCTGGAGTACCTGCTTTGGGGTAGGTGGCGATGAGCAGGTCTGATGGGTCGGGACGGAAAGCCCAGATGGAGTCCCAGTTGTAAGCAATGTGGGACATGAGAGGAACGTCTTGGATCTTGATGACGGGGAAACGAGTGATGGCGGAGCCGGCCTTCTCGATGGCTTCCTTGTAGGATAATTCTTTCTCCTCTGTCATCGTTGACACAAAAAGATCAAACTCCACAGGTCTAACAGTGAAACGTCTCCAGTGAGGCCAGTGTGCTGCGTGCTCCTGAAGGTCTGACTCCAGCAGCCGGCTCCGTCAACATTCACGGCTGGTTTGCTCCTGTGCACTCCTCATAAACCTGTCAGAATATTTCCTCTTACGTGACTGCCAATCCCACAATCACCAGGTACACTTCCTTGTCGCCGTCATTATCCCCTCCTCTTGTTACCTGTTGTCCAGGAATCCTCCCTTTAAACAGTTTCTGGCTTTCAGACCGAGTTTTCCCCAAAATCTGCAACCAAAATTCCAGAATGTGTCAGTAGATTCATCTCCGAGTAAAACTAATTTGCTCTTTTTCTCTGTCTTTGTATCCCGGCTGCTCGAGTGCCCATACCAGGTTCTTATCTCCCTGTGATCACTGGAACTTGCACTAAAGTGGCCTTATGTAACAATCCCAGTTACGTATGAATTCCATTTTTCCACACACCCACTTACACACACACACACACACACACACACACACACACACACACACACACACACACACACACACAACTTTCTTTGACTGCTTCCTTTTGTAATTTGAGGAAAGGAACGAGGGAGGGTCCTGAAGCAGCCACTGAGAGGTGAGGTACAGTCATGAAACACGTCAGAAACAGATTCACGTTTACTTCAGATTTATTACTTCTCTCCTCTGCTGATCTCTTGTGTCAAATATCAATAAACACTGACATCAAATAAAAAGTTAAAAAAGTGTGAACACTTGCACCTAAAACACATCTGGACTACTTAAAAGTAAACAAAAAGCAGATTTAATGCAACAGAACAACGTTTGACAAAGGTTTGCTCCCGTCGGCTCAGGCTGAAGACCAACTGGAGATGAATATCTGCTGGACTCTGAACATCCAGCTTTGTCTTTTAAACCAGAGGCGCCTGTTTAGACTTTACATTCCAGGGTTCCCCTGGTTAATATCCTGCCAGCAGTAGAAACAATGTTTCACAGAAAATAATGCTGAGCTCAACGGCTGCATGAGGCGCTACAGAAAGGAATGTGTTTCAGATAATTATATAAAGTTTCATTTGACTGTTAGTTTTAGGTCAAAGCAGAAAAGTCGAGACTTGCTGCAGATTTCTGACTTTTACAAAGGAAGAATACTAGCCGCTCTGTAAAAATGTGTGCATATTGATGAGATTGGTGCAAAGCAACTTTTAAAGCTCTAAATAAAAAAACATTCTCAGTTATTTAGTGACCATGTTGAATACAATAGATCTTAGTTTGGTTTCTGCAAGAAGGCGATGAAGTTCGAGCATGTTATAAAGTTGTTTTAAAAATGAATCTGATGCATGCTGAACCCACACCTGCTCTAAACTATGTTACAGGTGACAAAAACACGAATCAGTAACAAAAGTCATGTGCTATTGTCTAAATTAGACTTTTTTTGTTTCCTTTGGCTTCCCAGAGCTTGAACGTTTTCATTAAGTTTGTTTTGCTACTACACTTTGATTACTTGATGACTTATAGGAGATCCTAACTCAAGTGATGAGCCGCACGAGTCATATAACAAACCATCAATAAATGGACTTCTTACCAATGCCAAGGGTGTCTTTCCCAAAGCTTCCCGGATGAGAAAAGTCCAGCTGCATTCGTTTTTGGGATTATTTCTTACCAGCAGGCTGTCATAAAGCCTTGACTTGATTGCATTTTTTTATGAATCCATGAAAATCTAAAAAGAATACATGAAATGGTAATGTAGCACTACAGGATGATTCCCAAAGAGCTGAAACCCGGACACAAATAAGGTGAACAGGTGAAGGAAGATGGATGCATCTGTCAGGTCCTACTTCAGTTTTTGCTGGATTTCTTTCTCTCATACCTAATTTGCCTTGTAGATTAAAATTACTTCTGCAGTCTTTTCTTTTCTCATTTTTACGTGAAAAAATATATTTTCACTGACAACACCAGAACATTAGTAAAAGGAGAAGTTAAACAATTTAAAAGAACTTCAGAAATGCTGAATAATGTTAGATCTATCTCTATGAAAGATTACAAGGAGGTCCAGCCGCTCCCAAGCAAAGAATGAAAGAAACCAGGGGTGGTTTAAAACTTCTACCCAGTAGTGTGTGTACCACAAGAACATTTTGTACTGTAACACACTCGCAGGTTGCTGGTTCTTTGATGTACTGTTGCTGCTCTGCTCTTGAGCTCCCAGCTTTCCCGCAGTGATTTTAACAGTCATGCTGACTTTTTTTTCACTGCATGATAAAAAGAACTTGTAGCGTGAGAAAGCGAAAGCGTACGTGAGTGCCATGTTCATGCTGGCAGATTTGGCAGCAGTGATAGTCATGCTCCTCTGGCAACATGAATAAATACAACATGTAAACGGGGTCCGAGTGTGTGACAAAAGGGGCTCACACAGGCCGTGCTTCCTGTTTTAGTAGCTTTATAATGAATCAGGGAAAAGTCAATAGATTTATTTTACATAATGTTTTCTTTGTGTTACTTTTAAAATTCCTGGAATCGACCCGCTAACACAACATGTTCCAGTTCAACTGTAACTGATTTGTTTACGACAGACACCCAGGCAGAGTAAGCCAGTGTTAAACTGAATGAGAAGCTGATAATTTATTAAATAAAAACTTTAGAACGTCTTTAAAAAAAGGAATTGATGGATTGAAACTATTTTAGTCAGATTTTGAGAATTCTATTCAGTTCAAGTTTATTTATACAGCACCAAATCACCACAAGAGTCGTCTCAAGGCACTTCACACAGTAAACATTCCAGTACAGGTCAGTTCATTTAGCCAATCAGTAAAAAGTTTCCTATATAAGGAACCCAGCAAATTGCATCAAGTCACTGACTAGTGTCAGTGCCTTTACAGCAATCCTCATACTAAGCAAGCATAAAGCGACAGTGGAGAGGAAAATTCCCTTTTAACAGGAAAAAACCTCCAGAGGATCCTGGCTCAGGATAAACAGCCTTCTGCCACGACTCACTGGGGATCAAGAAGACAGAGCAGACACACACACACACACACACACACACACACACACACACACACACACACACACACACATACACACACACACACACACACACACACACACACAACATATATACTAAGCAATGTTTCTATGGTTACATTGTGATTGCTTAGTAAATATTCTATTTGGTGAGAGATAAACTTTATTGTATTTATCCTAGTTAATCTATTATTAAACGGGTAAACTAGCAGTAGCACATTCAATGCCAAAAAAAGTAAAACGTTATTATCAGGAGAGGGAGAATGTTTAAGTGGTTAGCAACAGTGTTCAAGACGATGGCCCCCTCCATGAGGCCACCACAGCTCAGCAGAACACCATTGTAGCTTCTTCTGGGGAGAAAAACACTTAGAGAAAAAATAAAGTTAAAAGCTGAAATATCAGGAAATAATGCAGTTAAAGAGCAAATTGTATAAGAATGTAGTCGAGTGTGAAAAGTGGTCAGTGTGTCCTCCAGCAGTCTAAAACTATAGCAGCATAACTACAGAGATAACTCTGGATAACCTAGCCTTTTAGATGGAGGCATGTTCGAGACAGGGCACGAGAGAGCCATCTTTACCGACTGTTCACTCCACCTCCCTCTACCCCCCCCCCCCCCCCCCCCCTTGTCCAGATCTAGGCTAACATCAGATTTTAACCATAGGCCCTATCAAATAAAAATGTTTTAAACCTATTCTTAAAAGTAGACAAGGTGTCTGCCTCACGGACTAAAGCTGGGAGCTGGTTCCGCAGGAGAGGAGCCTGATAACTAAAAGATCTGCCTCCCATCCTAATTTTAGATATTCTGGGAACCACCAGTAAACCTGCAGTCTGAGAGCGAAGTGCTTGGTTAGGAACGTATGGAACAATCAGATCACTGATGTATGATGGAGCTTGATAATTAAGAGCTTTATATGTGAGAAGAAGGATCTTAAAATCTATTCTGAATTTAACAGGTAGCCAATGTAGGGAAGCTAAGACAGGAGAGATATGATCTCTCTTTTTAATTCTCATCAGAACTCTAGCTGCAGCATTTTGGACAAGCTGAAGACTTTTAACTACATTCTGTGGACTTTCTGAGAGTAATGGATTACAGTAATCCAGTCTTGATGTAATAAATGCATGAACTAGTTTTTCAGCATCACTCCTGGAAAGGATGCTTCTAATCTTAGCAATATTCCGAAGGTGGAAAAAGGAAATCCTTCAAACCTGTTTAAATTGGGATTTGAATGACATGTCCTGGTCAAAGATAACACCAAGGTTCCTTACATTGTTCTCAGGAGACTAATTTAATGCCGTTCAGGTCAGGTGATTGACTAAGCAATTTCCTTTTCTGAATTTCAGGTCCAAAGATGAGAACTTCAGTCTTGTCTTGATTTAAAAACAGAAAGTTTAGAGTCATCCAATTTTTTATGTCTTCAAGTCAAGCCTGTGATCTAACTAACCAATTAAGCTCGTCAGGGTTAATGGATAAATATAACTGAGTATTGTCAGCATAACAGTGGAAGTTTATCCCATGCTGTCTAATGATTTTACCAATTGGAAGCATATATACAGTAAAAAGAATCGGTCCAAGCACTGAACCCTGTGGTACTCCACACGTAACCCTGGAGAATGAAGAAGATTTGTCATGTACATTTACAAAATGAAATCTTTCAGGCAGGTAGGATTTAAACCAGCCTAGCGCTGTTCCTTTGATCCCTACAACATGTTCAAGCCTTTCTAAAAGAGAACAAAGTTAAGTGAAATCTCAAACAACTTTGTAAGATGTTGCTTGATGTGTGTCTTGCAGTATAGGCTGTACATGGCCCTCAGCCGCTGTTAATCACATTTTGGCTCTGTAAAAATGTGCACGTTATAAAGGCCAGTTAGCTGTGGTGGCCATCTTGACTGGTCCGGACTCCATGAATCACTTCCTGTGAGCTTCATTCAAGTCTGATCTGCGGTTTGTGACACATTTTTCTAACTCCTCTCACTCACCTCCACTCTTCAGCTGTGGGTAATAGACCTGAAACTCAGATATTATTTGTTTGCTTTGGTCTTGTGTTGTGTATTTTGGTGTCCTTTTCTTCTGTCTGCTCCCTCATTTGTCTCTCTTAGCTTCACTTTCTCCTCTGTCCGATACAATCCCCTTGTCACCTCCCGTGTCTGTTCTGTCAGGCCCAGACTTGTCATTGGCTTTGTTTGTTCATGATATTTCCCATTTGCATTCTCATACTAGTTTGTGTTTGTTTTCATTTTGCATCTGGAAGCATCTGGAGTCCTGCCTGGCTTGTGTGGTCTCACATACCTCCGAGACTGTTGCCAGTCTGGTTCAGCATAAAAACACAAAATAAAAATGCAAAACTATATTTTACAATCTGAATCTGAATAAAACATTTTACTGGGAGAAATGTTGTATTAGTAAAAATATTCTGTCTGTTCTTTTACATTATAATTGTTTGAATACAAGCAAAAGCCACAAGGGTTTCCCTGAC